GGGGTTGGGCCTGAGAAAAGGGGTGGGGACAAGGAAAATGGGTGGGGCAAAGGGGTGGGCTAATCCAGGTGGATTAAAGGGGTGGGGCCAAATGTGGGCGGGGATAAAACCAGCAGGAGGGGTATTCAGGGAGGTGGGGCAGGTAATGTGGGCGTGGCAATTCCCAGGGGTGGAGTCGGGACTAGTGGGAGTGGCTAGTCTCAATAAAGGGGTGTGGCTTGGTCAGGTGGGTGTGGCCAATCTCAATTGAGGGGTGGGATCAGGTGGGGTGGGCGTGGTTATTCTCAATAGAGGGGTGGGGCTAGGTCAGGTGGGTGGGGCTAGTCTAAATAGAGAGCCACAATGGGGCGTGGCCACAACATATGGGGTGGGGTTAAGAACAATTAAAGGGGCAGGGCCAGGTGAGATGGAGGGGCGGGGCCATGGCACAGGGGCGGGGCCATGGCACAGGGGCGGGGCCATGGCACAGGGGCGGGGCTCACCCGGGCGAGGTCGAGGTCGGCCTGGCGGCGGTGCCTCCAGAAGAGCACGGAGGGCTCCGAGTGGGGCCGCGTGACCGGCTCGCCGTAGACGAAGAGCCGCACGACGGCGCCCAGCACCACCGCCACGTTGAGCAGCCAGAAGACGAGCGTGGGCCAGAGCCACTGCGACCACCCCCAGGGCTCCTCTGTGCGCGGCGGGCGGCGGGGGCTCAGCCGCGGCGGCCTCCGCCGCCAACGGCCTCCATCCCACAGCAGCCTCCGCTCCCACGGCCTCCATGCCCCCAGCAATCTCCATCGCCATGGCCTCCTCCCTCAACAGCTTGCACCCCTATGGCCTTCACCACCATGGCCTCCTTTCTCAACAAGCTCCATCTTTAAGGCCTTCACCTCAACAGCCTCTACCCCAATGGTCTCCCCTCCCATGCCTACCCTAATGATGTGCCACCCTGACAGCCTCATCTGTGACCGTTTCCACCACCATGACCACCCCAAACAGTCCCCATCCCAATAACCTCTGCCCGGACAGCCCTCACCCCTATGGCTTCCACCTCCAACAGCCTCTACACACACGGCCTCTACCCCAGCAACCTCCACCACCACCGCATCCCCCACCCTGCCCACCCGCAGCAGCCTCCACCCCAACAATAGCTCTGCCCTGGCAGCCTCCACCCCATGCCCACCCTGATGGGTCTCCCTGCCCGGATCCTCCGCACCCACCCACCAGCCTCCAGCCCTATCCCTACCACCAGCCTCTGCTCCAACAACCTCCCCGTGCACCCTACCCAGCAACCTCCCCCTTGCACCCACCCTGCCGACCTCCACCCCAAAAACCTCCACCCCCAGCAGCCTCCACCTACCACGGCCTCCACCCCTACAACCACCCCAGCAGCCTCCACCTGCACAACCTCCACTCCTGTTGGCCTCCCCTCTGTGCCGCGCTCACCCCTGGGCACCGTCTCAGCCATGATGCTCCTGCCGGGCCCGGTGCCCCCGGGGCTCTGCGCGGGGGCCGGGGCGCTGGCGCCGCGGAGCAGGGCGGCCAGCGGGTTGAAGGAGAGGCAGAGGAAGACGAAGGCGCAGAGGGCCATGCGGGAGCGGTCCAACATGCCCTGCGTGCCGGGCGAGGGCGGCGCGCGCTCCTGCTTCACCTGCGGCCGGAGGCGCCGTGAGCCGCGCGGCGCCGCCCCCGCGGTGCCGCCCCCGCGGTGCCGCCCGGCGTCACCCACCTTGGCGTCCTCGAGGAGCGGGCTCTCGGGCTCCGAGTCGCTGCTGCTGGCGCTGGCGGCACCGAGCGAGAGGGGGCTGCCGCGCGCCGGCGAGCCCACGTCGGACGGCGGCGGCGTCGGCATCCCCAGCGCCTCCGCCTTCACCACCTCCATGGGCGCCTCCGCCCCGGCGCCGCTGGAGGCCACCAGGTCCTTGAGGGACTCTGCGGAAGGGAGGCCGAGCYGGCTGAGCACGGGGGGCTCTGCGGGGTGAGACGTGCCCGGCTCGTGTCCCCGGCACTCACTGTTCTTCTGCATGGCCACCTTGAGGGCCAGGTTCTCCTGCTTCAGCTTCTGGTTGCTCTGCTGCAGGAAGCGGATGTACTCGATGGCTTTCCGCAGGATTGCCGACTTGTTCAGCTGCCACCGCAGGGGACACACGGCTCAGCCACGCACCCACCTCACCCCRTCTGCAGCGCCGGGGACACGGGCCACGTCCCCACGGCACCCACCTTGGCCTCGGTGCCCACCACGAGGTCCTTGAGCTCCACGATCTTGTCGTTGATGGAGGAGCGGTAGCGCTTCTCGATGGCGTTGTGCGCCGTGCGCTTCTCGCCCTTGCTCTGCGCCAGCGCCGCCTTCCCGCTGGGCGCCAGCCGGTTGATGGGCAGCTTGTCGGCGTCCACCACCAGCGGCACCGTGGCGAGGATGGTGCCACCGCTCACCAGCGCCTGCGGCGACGGCCACGTTGGCCGAGGGGGCCCRGGCGCAGCCCCYAGCCCCGCACGGTGCCGACGGGACCTACCGGCACCTGCAGCGGGGCCGCCTGCCCGCCGACGCTGGTGGCCACCGAGGTCTTGGCGCCGCCGGCGTCTGCCTTGACGGCCGTCAGCAGCAGCGAGTCGGCCTTGATGAAATGCGGCTGCAGCAGCACCTGGCACCGGGGGGGTGGCGTGAGCAGGGATGGGTAGAGGGGGGGATTGGGCAGCGCCGGGACCCCCCGGCCGTGGACTCACCGGCACCGGCTGGATCTGCGGCGACACAGGCTGGGCAGCGCCGGCTGCGGGCGCCAGGAGCGTCGGCGCCGCCACGCTGTGCACGGGGGGCGCGGGCTGCG